GAAGTGCAGGTTCAAAACAGGACCACTGTTAGAAGCAAACCTCCATACTTGTGAGTTATTGCTTATTATTGAACACAGGACCACTGTTAGAAGCAAACCTCCATACAATGGCTCACCAAGTTATTGCTTATTATTGAAGCCACCCCAGCCACCCCAGCTATGAAACAGAACTTACTTCCTTACAGGAGCAAAGCAGCTCAAAGGAAGATCACTAATTCACAAACTTGCAGTGACTCAAGGGCTTCTGACTTGACTGTTCATACCCATAATTTCACTGTATAACAGAACACAGGAACAATTCTCACCACACACTTACAAGCACCTTGCTTAAGCAGTTTAAAAATCCTCAATGCAAATACTTTTTTTGAGTAATCCAGCATATTTTTCCAGCACATTCTTGTATGTATGTCTTGTAAATACCAGGTAGCCATTGGTTCCCCATGCCCAAATGGAAAAAAATTCCCCCCCTCTTGCCAAAAATTAATTTAGAATGACACATCAACACATGGAAATCACTTACTGAGTTTCAAACAGTGTCAGCACCTTTGCAGGTCCTCACTTTCAGGTTCTTCCTAATGCTTCAACAAGTCCCAGCACCACAGGTAAAACACCACAACCATCAGCATGTTCACTCTTCCATTTTCCAGGCCATGATGGCCTTGTCCTGGGTCAGCAGAATCACTTAGTGATGCTCCCTCCTGGATTTGCTTGGCAGCTTCTGCTCTGAGTGATGTTGCACAACCACCTGATCCCAGAGCTCTGGAAGACCAGCAGGTTTCTGCAGCAAGGATCTTGGTTCTGGCAGGTGAATCACTTTGCTCTGGATCTTGCAAACTGTAGGACAGTGAGAAAATGTAATGTTGCAAGATCCAGATGGTAAAGATTACCAGAGTGGTTTGGTCATTACTTCTAGACAGAAGGAAACAGATTCTGAAAATGTTTACCTCTGATGGAGCAGTTTTCAGGCCTCAACACAGGATGCCACCTACAAGATTAACCCGTGCTCATATGGGTCACTTTACATAAGATGTGTCATCCCTAAATTAAATTATTAAGAGCCCACACCTGACCCACTCATCCAGAATTCTTTTTATAGTCCACTGAAAGAAATGGTCATAACCAGAGAGTGATTCATCCTACAAGAAGAACCCAAGGGAGGTCAGATGACTTTAGGTATCCATGGCTGCAAAGGCAGCCTGGGCTGAGCAGTTCAGATTTTTCCAGCTTGAAGTTTGTGTTCATAGACTCACAGAACCCCAGACTGGCTTGGGTTGGAAGGGACCATAAAGATCACCCAGATACAACTCCCCTGTGTGGGCAGGGACACCTCCCACCAGCCCAAGTTGCTCCAAGCCCCATCCAACCTGCCCTTCAACACTGCCAGGGATGGGGCAGCCACAGCTTCCCTGGGCAACCTGGGCCAGGCTCTCACCACCCTCACACTCCACAATTCCCTCCTCATGTCTCACCTCAATCTCCCTCTTCCAGTTTTCATCCCTTCCCCCTTGTCCTCTCCCTCCCTGCCCTTGTCCCAAGTCCCTCCCCAGCTTTCCTGGAGCCCCTTCAGGCACTGGAAGGTGCTCTAAGGTCTCCCTGGAGCCTTCTCTTCTCCAGGCTGAACACCCCAACTCTCCCAGCCTGGCTCCAGAGCAGAGCTGCTCCAGCCCTGGGATCATCTCTGTGGCCTCCTCTGGACTCACTCCAGGAGCTCTGTGTACTTTTTATGCTGGGGGCTCCAGCACTGGACACAGAATCTTCATTAGCTGCAATGATGCTACCCTGAAGCCTTTATCAAATGAATGCATCATATATCAGGCTATTGTTGGGTGATCTGGAGTAGCACTGAGGATCCCCTTTGATCCAACTTATGACTCAAATCAATCTCAAATTGAGTTAACCTGGCTGGTTCCCAGCAGTTACAGTATTAAACCACATTTCTAGAAGACAGCAGCGTGCTCTCCTTTCCCCACAGCTCTGCAACAAGTCCCTGTGTTTAAGGCTGTGGGGCAAAAATCTTATATTTGAGGGTAAATTTCAAGCACTGCGAGTCCTCATCCAGGAGGTTCCTGAGGTCAGGCTCCCCATACCAGCTTCACATCAGGCAGGCACGAGAGCTAAACCTTCTGCCCCTTTGTCCTAGTGTCTGTGGTTCAGGTTTGCCACACGAAAAAGAAGTAATAAAGAGTTTTCTGTTTACCTAAACACCGTGCCAGTGACTTCAAGGCATTTGGGAAGGGAAGCTCAATTGTTAAAAACAGGCAGGTTGATGTCCAATGAAATGTTTGCTTTTGAAAAGGAACACTTGGAATAACCACAGTGTGAGTCCATGGGGTTATGAGGGCATCCTGCTGAGGCATCTAAAGAGAGATTTCCCTCATGATTTAAACAAAACAGAGCAGTTGCTACAATAAAGGTTAAAAAGGCTTTACATGGCCTGTGGCAGTTTGTGTAGCTCAGGCCTTGCAAGCAATGATTGCAGGATAATTTTTGGTGGAAAGAAATGTCTATCCCAGTTTCGAAGAAATAATCAAGGCTCTTGGATAACCCCAGTGAGCATCTCACTGTGAGGAAAACCAGACTGTACTTCCATTTTTAATTAAAAAAGGTAATGGCAAACATGCATCAGACTGAAAGGCCCTTTGGCTTCAGGCAGGATAAGCAGATGGAAAATGGGTAATGTCAGTGTAAGTTTCTCTAGGCCTGTGTGCTCCCTGCAGTTCTCATCCAGAACAGTTTCAGCTGTCACAGAAAGGACACAGGAGCAGTTGTCACTGGGAATACAGGCTGGATCCAACACACCTTCATCCAGCCCCAGCACACACCAAAAAGCAACTCGAGCCCTTCTCTGCCCTTCAGGCTGTCTCCAAGTGAAGGGTTACTTATTAAAAACAAGGGCTCTTGGCTTCAGTAGTTTAAGGGTTATTATTAAACCAGAGTGGAAGTGACTGGTCAGATGGGTGGCAGCTGAACCATGGAAGAGGCTGCACTTTGTTCTGGATGGTAGTAAACGTGCTATTTAACCCAGCACGTCATCCTCTGGAGTAAGAAGCCCACACAGTGACTGCTGCTCCTTCCCAAAGTCCCCAGACTCCAAAGGCAAACAAGAAGAGGCCTCAGTGAAGTGCCCAGGAATGCAAAGGCTGCTCACACGTTAGCAAGCCCTTTAGCAGAGACAGGTATGGGAGAAAGGAGATGGGGTGACCTGCACAGCAATACCCTCAGTGCCAGGAACCATCTGAGACACACTAAACTCATGGGATTAGATGCAGGTTTCCTGTTTTGTTCAACTGAATCCTGCCAAAACCTCCTGTGTCCAGTGAGAAATCCACCTAATTCCCTGCACAATAACCCACAGAAACATAAGGGGCTTCACACTGGAACCATCTTTCAGCACTCGGTTGTAGGTTTATTAATCATGAACAGAACTACTGTAGCAGGAATACCTTGACTGTGCTTTGAGTGCAGGGGCTCTTTCACACACCAGGAAGCTGTTTGCTGTCTCTTTCACTCTGTATTTTAACTTTACTACTAAAAAGACCTAAGAATGTCCTCATCTCCCTCCACAACCAACCTTCCTGCTGTGCCCTTAGCTCATAGTTAAGTGTGTACCACACAGGTACAACAACAGACAAACCTTTATCACTCTAAATGCCATTCCCAAGACATACAAACCTCAATTCAAGGCTTGCTTTGAAATGGTGCATGGAAGTGCTCATGTCATACCTGCAGTTAACCCCTTGTTTTTTTGCCTAAAACACCCAATCTCTTCTAACCCAGGCCTGAAGTAGGTTGGCTTTTGTACAGAAAGACTGACACACAAGGCCTGAAGCCCAAAAAACTCCCCTCAGCTCAACACACACAGCTCCAGTCATACAGCTCCAGTCACACAGTTCCAGTCACACAGCACTGGACAACTCTGAGCTGTTAAGACTTGGTTCTTTAAACAGATTTTACTCAATAACCTGTAACTTTGAGCAAACCACAAGAAAAAACAGGTTAAAAAAGAGCCATCTTCCAAAGAAGACGGACTGTCTATTAGCCCTTGGCAAGCTCAACAACCACTGTACACAAAACAAGTTGTACAACACCAAAAGATGGCAGAGAGATTTATAAGGCATTCTGCCCTTTTATTCTTCTCCTGGTCCAACATGTCTTCTGATCTCATTCCCAGGAAGCTTCAAGGTCATGTCACAACAGCCACGGATTCATCTCCAGTATGTGCAAAATTCAAACAAATGTACATAGATAAAATTGGAAAGGTAAAAACAAAACTAAAGGCCAAGATCAGGGGTTAAAAGATTTCTGAGTCCAGTTCGGGTAGATCCACACTTTTAAAACAAGCTACAGTCTTTTTTGACTGATAAAAAGGTTTCTTTGTTGAGGAAAACTAAAGGAGGATCCTTCTGGTCAACACTTCTTTTTCTTTTCCATTATATTCCCATTTCCTGACAGACCTGTTCACACACTGACCTTCTGCATCTCCTCCACTTCTCACCTTTCCTGTGGTTACTTGCTTTTTTACAGCTTTTTTACAGCAAAAACCGTCTTGACTCTCATCCTGCCCTTGACAGAACTTGGACATGGAAGTGTTATCTGTCTGAAAGGTGAGTTCAGAGATAGGGGAGAGGTATTTTAAAAGTCTGTAAATAGTAGGCTGAATGTGTGAGGAATCTACTTCCATGCTGTTACCAGCTCTGGTGTCCCAATCACCATCCCAAGTCCCCTTTATAAACAGCTAAACTCCTGCAAAAGGAGGCATCTTCTTCATGACCTGGAAAAGTCTGAATTACCCTTTCCAAGCAAATTTCCCTGGCTAAGGAAGACCCAAGATCAACTGCTTCATCTACAACCCAAAACACACAGGAATTATACTGGCAAAAGCCCTTTGGATGGGAAAAGGACAAAGAAAAGGAAGACATTTCTCAAACAATCAATTCTACAGACCTTGGCTTTACATATCTGGACTGACACATCTTAGTTTGTAGGTACAGCATCTTTTGCTGTGGATTTTCTACCTAGACATCACAATGCTGACTCCAGACAAAAAAAAAGTGACAGAATCCAGTCCAGCCCTTAGCCATGACTGTGCTTAGGTTGTCTTGGATGGTTGGATGGAGGGTGACTCAGGGAAGTTCTTGGAAAGTGATCCATTTTCAAACCAGTGTTCATAGCTGATCTTGGGTCTGCTTTGGAGATGGAGCTGTTGTCACCACCACAGTGGAAACTGCTTTAGTAGAGCCAGACACTGTTCCCTGCTGGAGGTGGGAGGCTGGGACTGTTTGAATCCGCACCTGTTTGAAAGGGAAAGAAAAAACCTCAACTCATGTCAAGAAAGGCCTGGTGACACATTGAACTTGCACCACACTCTGAAGCACTGGGGAATTACCTGCCTCTCCTGGCAACCAAAACTCAAGTTATATGAACAAGACCAAGCACCAAAACACACCAAGGACAGCATCTGTCACAAGATCACTCCATCCACTGCTCATGTAGGATGGTGGCAAGAGATCTCAAGGTTACACAGGAAGAAGCAAAAACTAGTTTGAATAAAAACCTTCATGTCAGCTGCTTTTACAAGTTTTCAGAAAAAAGACTTGGATCCATTGGATACTTCTCCTGTACAGACCTGTTACTAGCAGCTCTCAGTACAGATTAATTCTTTGGAACTCCAGAACAGTAAGTTTCCAGACAGAAAGATGGATGAGCAAATAAACGAATTCCTTCAAGAAATGGTGACTCACAGCAGCCAAAGTACAAAGCTCTAAAAAAGAGCCAAGGGTACAGAAACAATCCCTCAAGCAGCTGGGAACATTTCCTGGAAGGATTTTTGGCTTTACATTCTACAATCAGTGCTTCAAAAACATTTTAAAACCGTATTTGGATGGAGGGAAGGTAAAGGAGATGATGCACTGCATGTAATTGCAGACACTCCAGCCAAGCTGTGTGCCTGCACTTTTTATGGAACCCCATGGATCAGGTGTAAAGTCCTCAGGAGATGTTAGGTTATCAAAAAGCAAATCATATTATCATTGTGTGTCCCATTACCTGTGTGGCTTGGCCTTGCTGCTGCAGCTGCTGGAGTTGCTGTGCAGTCAGGAAACTCACTGGCTTGTTCCCAGCAATCAGTTTTGTCCCTGCTGGCATGGTAGTCAGGATGATATTCCTACCTAATCCACTGATGCTGAGGAAATAGAATGGTTGGAAGGTTAGTAACCAGAACAGCAGGCTAGGTCTTTCAGACTCATAAATTGTTCTTCAGTTGCTAGGAGATATCAAAATTCCTTATCTGATTCACTAATTATTTTAAGTAGCAGGTTGGGTTTTTTCCCCACAAATACACAAGTGACTAGTTTATGTCAAGGTTTATCACTGTGATAGATAATTTATCACACAAATTAAGCTCTTGAAATCTGGACTGTGCCCATCGCTGGATTAGTCTGATCAGACCTGAACACTTCTCAAGGAATGCAGAAAAATTCCAAGCACACAGTGTTCTGCCCTGAAATATTAACTAAGGGAGACAGCAGGAGAATTCAGGGAAGAATAAACAAAAAGACTTCAATATCTGAGTGCCAGAGGAATTTGCACTGAGGCAGTTACCACTCCCCTGGTTTCTTTAGTGGAGAGATGGCCTCAGATTACAGGTATTTTTAGGTATGTCACCAGGTTAACTCTTGCTCAAACACACAGAACTAATCTAATAGCTGGTTTCAAGGCGAGGAACATTTTTTTCTTCAGTTATTTACTAGAACCTGCACCTCAGGGCACATCAACACAGATTATATTCTCACTGCCACTGAATTAATTCAGTTTCTTGCAGCTAATGGAGGTATTAACAGACTGCAAGTCCATTCCAATCTTTGCCTGCTAGGTCCTCAGGAATCTATTGACCAGATAACTTTCCTCAGCCTCTTTCTAAAGCAAAACTACCAGATGCAAAGTACTCACTTGGCCCCGAGGTTGCCCTTGATGATGGGGGCAGTCACCACACTCTTGCCTTTCACTGGCTGGCTGATCACTGACAGAGGCACTGTTATTCGTGCTGGCAGTTTACCCTAGAGAAGTTGAAGAACACATGAGGAGCCCTTGGGAACTCAGCAGAGCAACTGCTTGACAACAGGCAATTACCACTCAGCCTGGCTTTTAGGAGTCCTGGGAGTGGAAATCAACAGCAGCTTTGCTGATGAAACCTGTGCTCCATCTCAGGCTCATTAAAATTCACCTCCATCTCATTCACTTCACAGCTGCCTCAGCCCTGAAAACCTGCATCCTCTTTGCACCACAGGATTGCTCTGGGAAGGATCATTGCATCTGTCTGGGATTTTTATCCTTGGAAGGCTATGGGAATGTCAATTAGCCTATTCACACTACTTCACAGTACGGTTAATGGTGCCTTCAGCTTTGAGCATTAAAACTGCATTAAATGGGAAATTCCATTAAAAAAATAACATGTAACAAGTGCTTCTAGTCCCATTCCAGGGGAAATTATTTCAGAGGTGTGGGCAAGACGCTGAGCTGCACAAGGTAGGACTTCAGATAAGCAAAGTTTATTTCATTCACTCACAACAGGAGGCAAGGGAAGACATATCTGACTGTTTTCTGGCAATTCAGCATTTGGCTACAAAATTCCAACACCAAGAAATCAGCTGCAGACCCACATTCTACAGCAGTTAATTCGAGCCCCTGCGGATGCGAAGATTTCCGAGATGCATCATCAGTGTATTTCAGCATTCCCCTTCCTCACCCCCCTGCAGAAAAAGGTTAGCAGTACTTACTGCCTGGGATGTTGACACTACTGTGGTGCTGACGGGTACCTGCCGCACAGTGGTGGCTCCTGTGCCTATAGTTATGGGAGTCCCAGCAGCTCCCGAGGCCACGGCCACCGCTTTGGACACTGTGGCACTCACGGCTGGTAAGGAGACAGCTGAGGTGTGGGCTGTGCCGGCCACGCTCACTGCTGAGGAAGAGGGCACTTGTTTAGGGTGAGTAGCTACTGTGATAGTCTGCCCAGCTTTGGGTGGCATCACCCCTAGCCCTTGCACGATTCTTATGGTAGCAGCTGGCTTGGCCTCGGTGGATGCCACCGTGGTGATGGCTTTGCTCTTCTGATCTGCCACCGTCATGCCCAGAGCAGGCATCAGTCGGAAAGCAGAGCTTGTTGGCTCTGCAGCCTTCAAGTCAGGAGTCACTTTAACCACTGTGCTTCCAGCTGGGCTGGAAGAAGCTGAAGTGGCCGTGCTGGTCTTGGCTGGAGAATCAGCAGTCTGGACAGGATTGGATGTCACATGCAGAGTTGCAGAGATGCCTTTCCCACCAGCACTGCTTCCCGCAGCTGCTGTGAAGAGGTCCTGAGTCAGTTTGACAGTAGTGACTTGGGATTTGGCCAGGGTGGCCATCATGTCCGGGGTGATCCGCAGCACAGTCTGGCCCTTGGCATCCGTGGTGATGGAGGACGGGGGCAGGCGCAACACGTCCTTCCCCTGGATCCGAAAATTGGTGGCTGTCAGGGGGATGCTGCTTCCAGGCTGGGTCTTCACGCCCAGCTGGCCTGTGATAGCCACCTGGAAGAGAGCAGAGAGCTCCTTGGAGCAAACCAGGACACAGTCCAAGCGTAACTTCCCCATAGGATATTTGCTCCCATTGGAAATGCCAGGGCATGATGCTGGAGCTCAGCACAGAGTGGAAAACTGTTCTGGTTCTGCATCAGATGGCATTCCCAAAACATGAAATACTGAGGAGTTGTTTTCTTTTTCAAACAAGATGAATGAAAAGGAGATCAACATGTGAAGATGGTCAATTAAAGAACCTGCACTAACATATCTTTTACCTGTATGTAAAATTTGGGCTCAAATGCACCAAACCAGCAACTGCCTAAATCTGTTTGGCCTGTGACTACAGTTTACACTATGTTCTCATATCAGCATATCAAGTTTGTGACAAAAAAACTGGAAACAACTGGGTGATGGAGCTCAGTTCCTGATCTCTCCCTCTCACCTGCTTGATGATATTCTGGCCAGCCACGTTCTGGATGACAGTGGTAGAGGAGGTGCTTGTAGCAGAACTGCCTGGAGAGCTGGTCACTGGCTTGACAGCAGGACTGGGTGCTGCAGAGAGCCCTGTCACAGGCAGGCCTGTCTGTCCCCCCATGGAGCTGCCTGGTCTCTGCACCTGCACTGGGCTGGTCTGAGTTTTTACTGGCAGAGTCATCACAGCCTGCAGACAGAAACAGAGGCAGCCTATGAGTGGACCAAAACACCACTGAGTAATAATTACTCTTTTTGTCTTGGGTCTTAGCTTCTAGTTCTGTGAACTCTTTTACTGCCATGCACCATTTAACGGTGCCACATCAACAGGTAACAGAGGAAAGCTCCCTATTCACTAGGGCTTGTAGGGAGAGGACACAGGGGGATGGATTAAAACTTGAAGAAGGGAGATCTAGGTTGGACACGAGGAGGAAATTCTTTGCTGTGAGGGTGGTGAGACACTGGAACAGGTTGCCCAGGGAAGCTGTGGCTGCCCCATCCCTGGCAGTGTTGAAGGGCAGGTTGGATGGGGCTTGGAGCAACCTGAGCTGGTGGGAGGTGTCCCTGCCCATGCAGGGGGGTTGGATCTAGATGATCTTTAAGGTCCCTTCCAACCCAAACCATTCTATGATTCTAAGAAAAGGAGCACTATATGATTTATGCACAGTATAATTTATGCACAACTGCTTCCATGCTCCTGCCCTGCAGTTACTGGATGATGTTCCAAGTGAGCAAGTAATCCCTGTGCCCTGCACCAACATATGAGAAGAAGCCAGGTTAGAAGTCAGAGCTACTCCACCATTTCCATGCAGCCCAGCTCACCTGAGGGAGCACTTTGGTTTGTGTGGCTGTAGCGGGAACACGGATCTGAGGCACTGATGCAGGCTGCTGCTGCTGCTGCTGCTGGGTTACCACTGGGGCTTGCTGGGACACAGCTGGGAGGCTGGACTGGGCAGTGACCACCCGGACCTGGGGCAGACCTGAGGAGGTGGTGTGACTGACCACCCTGCTGGGGGGTGGCTGTGGCCCTGCCTGTGCCTGTGGACTCTGGGCTGTGGAGAGCAATGTCCCAAGCTGAGGCATGGTGGGGGATGACACCAGAAGAACACTATGGAAAAGATAAAGGCCAGTAGGTCAGCAGAGATGCAGACAGTGACTCAAAGAACCAGCAACACTTACAAGTGATGTACAAGGCAGAAGTACCTCTGGCTGGGTTTTGCTGGCTCTGACCCAGCACTAGAGACGCTCTTGCTAACCACGGACACTGGTGGGGGTGAAATGGGGGTTGCTGGTAATGCTGGTGCAGTTGGTGTCACAGGAGTCACAGGGGTTGGTGGCATGCTGGAGTCACTCAGGCTCAGCTGGCTGGGCTCTGAGGTGCTGCTGGGGAGCGTTTTCAGGGAACTCTCCTTGCTGCTGGACTTCTGAAAGAAACCACGTCAAGCATGAAGGTCTTTAGAGAAATGGCTCTGACTGCTGCACTCCAGAGACTGGGCTGAGCACTTCCAGCTGAGCTCTGCATGCTCAGGAATGATGCCCTGGTGATAAACCCTGAAATCACAGATGTCTGACTGTCTGCCTTCCTCAACTGCAACCACAAATGGGCTGGTGCATTTGGCTGCTCGTGTTCCCAGGGAAAAGGGCATCTCAGCAGTGTAAAACATTCATAAGAGGCAGATTTCCACCTGGGTTAATTTGCCAGCAACAACCACTTTAGAGATATTCAATATCAATAAAAACAACAAAAAAGAGACATCCAAACCCTGACAGCTTCAGCAGACTAAGGGGGAGGGCAGCAGACTAGTTCCACACCCTCTGCTACAGCTTAACCTCAAAATTAAATCTGAAAGACCACCCTTAAGATAGGGAGCACAAATAAATTCCTTTGACCTTTCTGTTGGAGACCAACAGTAAAGCTGAGAGGTGTAAAATTTCCCTCTTCATGTCATGCACTGGTGCTAGACCAACACTGATATTCACAAACATAATAAATTGATAACTCAAATAACTCAGCCACTGTGGATGTAGAATTTATGGATTAAATTAAGCCCTTCTCTCCCTCCCAATCCCAAAAGCATCTGTGAAAACCAGAGGAAAGGAATTTACCATTTTAGCTTGGGGTTTTGGCTTCTGCTGAAGAGCTTTCTTGGCCTTTGCTGCAGCAGCTTGAGCCTGGTGGATCCGTTCTGCAAACACCAATGAACTGTTAGAGCTCCTGACCACAAGCAAACACCAGTTAAGAAAGAGGCCAATTCACAACTGCAAGCTTATCTTCAGATAAGAAATCGAACACACAGAGACATGTAATAATGCCAAGAAAAACACCAAGTAAAACCAGCCAAAAGGTCTGAAACAGACACATAAGAAGTTGTGAATGTGCACACAGACCTCTACTTCTCATACCCAGGATGCTATTTTTCATACAACTACTTTCAACTGACACACTGCTCTGCAACACTGGACTTAAGTGCAGGTGGGCTAACATTAGCTAGCTGATTAGAAGACTAGCAAACTATTAGATAGACTGACAGAAATTAATGTTCATTATCCAGCTGGACTTAAGCATAAAATCACAGAATGGTTTGGATTGGAAGGGACCTCAAAGCTCATCTAGATCCAACCCCCTGCATGGGCATGGACACCTCCCACCAGCCCAGGCTGCTCCAAGCCCCATCCAACCTGCCCTTCAACACTGCCAGGGATGGGGCAGCCACAGCTTCCCTGGCCAACCTGGGCCAGGCTCTCACCACCCTCACAGCAAAGAATTTCCTCCTCATGTCTTGCCTAGATCTCTCCTCTCCTAGTCTTAATGGATTAAGAAGCTCTAAAGTTTTCTAAACATTTAAATTCTTAAGACACCACCAAGCCATGCTTACCAAACTCCTCCTCACTCCTGTCCCTGTGCAGGTAGATCCACAACTTGCGCCCAATATCGTATTTCACACAGGGATCTTTCTCGTAATGTAATCGATCCAAAGCACCACTAACAACAGTGTTAACCTGAAAGTTCACAATTCATGGAGTTACAAGATGTCCCTGGCTGGGCTAGGCAAAGGTCACCAATAGCAAAGTAGTCCTATGTGGCATAAAACCTGAGTAAGCTGCTAGACATGTTCATTTGAGTAATAGCTCAGGCAGATGTTGCAGCAGAAGTTTGTCACCTTGGATTAAATGGAGCTTCCAACAAAGTCGAGAGCTCTAAAAATTGACTGGTTTTGAATCTAAAATGTGATTAGATATGTAACAGTGTTAATCCTATGGCTTTTCTAGCTGTGTTTGTATCATCCAGAATTTGGTGTAGACTTGCAGCACCTCACCAGAGTAGAACACAGCTCTCATTTGCTAGTCAAAGGAGCTTAAGAAATAACTGGGCCTCAGCCATTAAACACTGCCCAGGTCTAAGCAGTGTTATTTTGGGGGAAATCTGTTTGAGGTTACACATGGTAGCCCACTTACTTGAGCACTTGTGACATCAGGAGCTAGGAACTGGGAATCTTTAAGCAGCTCACAAATCTCAGCACGAGTTCCTTCCCCGTTAGGAAGGCGAGCAGCAGCATCACGAACTGAAATACAAACCCAGAGCTTTCACTTCCAGCAGTAACCAGGCAGCTGTATTCAAGTACTGCAGCAGATCTGTTTCCATATTGCTCTCTTAGCCCTCACAGTGCCTACTTGATCACTAAAATCTAGCCCACATGATCCCTGAGATATTAGCAGACTATAAAAGATCACTTTAAAGTAACTCAACTGCACTGGCTTTGTGCCAGGAGTGAGGAACTTGGGGAACAGCCCTGGTCCCTGGGATGACTTTGCCAGCCCCAGCTTCACATCAGTGTACCAAAACCACCACCTTTGTTTCCCATTTTCTGTCAGATCATCATCAACACATAGATGCCTTCTTTTCTAGTTGTTCCTGCTCCCACCATTTATGTCAATATCAATTTATGTCACCTTTTATGTCAATCCAGCCTGCCCACCTTAGTAACATAATTCCCTGGGGGGGTTAGGGGAGCCTCTCTCTTTTTAAAAAGAAATACTCTGGCCACTTACCAAGGGACAAGATGGTGACATAGGCAGGCCTGTCTGAGCGCAGCAGGGAATGCTCTCGGGCCTTGTTTAAGGAGGTTTCCTTGTCAAACACCCCCTTGACAGGCCCAACCACCGACTCAAAGCCGTGCATGCGGAAGGTGAAGGCTTTGTGGGGCTGGCTGTACCGGTAACGTTCCTGTGGTGGGAAACAAAGAGGGCTGAATGGAGCAGGAAACACAAACAGCAAAGTCTTAAAGCCTGTGCTACATTATAGTGTAACTTCTTGTTCTCTAGAGAATTCTTTTTTTTTAAAATTAAAGGTTTATAAACTTATTTTGGAGCAAGAGAAGCACAAACTGCTTCAAGCAGAATCTGAAGCACCACCTAAGCACAGAGTGAAGGTGCAATATGTGAGGTTCACTGTCAGACAGCTGCACAAGTGCCAGAGACACACCTCCTGGCCACCAAACACCCTTTCCCCCAGCAACAAGAAGCCCTTTCTTCCTCCTCCAATCCGGCAAAAGAGAGATTTCCAAAATGTAACCTGGCTATTCTGCCACCCACACAGCACATGTACCCAGAGAGAAGAGATGCCATCACGTGTTTACCCTGTAATACACACCTGCAATTACTGCAGACAAGATAATTAAGTGTACAGGTGCACTTATTGCCACTTGTCTTCTGCTTATTATACTCATACATGCTCCCAGTCATATGCTGGGAGATGACAAAGAAGACAGAAGGGTTCGCACAACCAAATTTAATGAGTTTTGACCAATATTCACTGGAAATACAGGTGTTTCTGCAGTAAGCAGCTAGGCTATATTGTTAGCAAGTGCTATGTAAAGGCAAGATACCTACTTCCAGGCAGAAGAAACAGATTAATTCTTTACACTAGTTTGTGTACCAGTATAAAACTCTCTTATGTGAAATTCTCCTGCTTTACTGGCCAACTATTTCAATATGTGCATTTAAATTAATATGATTCTCCTCTTACCTGCTCCTGAAACACACGTTTCTCCTCTCCTGTGCTAGGTCGGACCACATAGTCAGTCCTTCTGAAACAAAGGTCACCATCAGCTCTGAGCAGCAAGCCCACAACCATCCCAAAGAACTCCCCAAAGGATTAGACACCTTAACCCTTCTGCCAATTTGGAAAACATTTCTGATATATATATATATACACAATATAAACAGGTTGTGCAGAGATCTTCAAATACTCTCTATGCACTGTCTGAAAGTAAGCAAGGACTGTAAATAACCTAGTAATCAGGACAGAACTTGAGGAAATTCAAAGAACTTTGTATAAAACCAGACTATCAAGTTCCCTCCTGCCCCATGATGTAAAGCCTTTTTATTTTAAGCAACCAGCCATCCAGATTCAGAGATGCAAGGACCAAACTCCCCAGCTTTAGCACATGCAGCAGCTTTTGAGCAGTATTACATACTTACACTCTGGGAAATGGTGTTGTGGCATCTGAGCTGTCTTCATTTTCCTATCAAAAACCAAAGATGTGTCAATGTTGGATATAACTCTGTCAAGTTTTGCACCGCTAGAAGGTGATTTTTTCTGACTCACTTTGAAGAAGGTCTGGTCTTTGGTCTCCAACCAGAGCTGAAACAGTGCTGCCAATTCTTTCTCATGATCATGGCAAGAAACTAGTCCAAGAAATCAGGAAAAATAAGAAAAGTCCTTTATTTGTGATAAAGCCAGCTGCTTGTCCTTCCCAGTCATCTACTCCCTTCCCACCTCTGTGCATCACCAGTCACAAGGCATTTTCTGTACTTCACACATGCTCCAATTTCAATACTTGAACACATCCAGACTTAGGAAAATGGTTGTTCACTTATCATTGTAATAATTAATAATCACTCTGCATAATCAGAAGGTATGCTCTACAGAAGGGAAAATATGAAGGTGTTCAGATAGATTTGAAGGGTGACATAAACATGGTTAGCAACATAAATAAAGCCCAGTGCCTCTGTTCACTCATTCTCTGCCTGCTGCTGCTGCTGCTACTGATGTCTTAACAAAACCTGGAATGTAGAACTCAGTGAAAAGGAAAGGCCTAACCAATGTATTAACAGCTCTGCTTGTCCTTCTCTCTGGACAGCAGTAAGCTGAAAAGGCCTAGAGAAAACAACCAGCCCTCACAGAAATCACAGAAGAGCACAAGAGACTCACCAAGCAGTTTCCACTGCTGAGTTCTTTCCTTGAACTCAACAAAAGGTGAGAAGCTGGAAGGAGCATCTACAGTGAAAAACATGCATGTCAGAGACATCACACAATCCCCAAACCCTCCTGCTGTGATCAAGGTGTTGAGTTGGGCTCACAATGCCAGGGTTCAGGCAATTACATTAGTGTCTCTCTAAATCTACACTTGCCCAAAGGGAAGGTAAAGCACCTGAGAGTAACAGTGCCAGCACAGGACAGAACAGAACAGGGTAAAGAGTCTTTTATCCACAGGCTGCCAGATGGGATCCTGTTCATGCTGTGAGGTGCCAGGAACTGTTACTGCATGGTGACTGTTCTGGGCTCAGGGGAAGCACAGTTGGGATTTACAGTATTCATCAGCATCCCAGAGAACATTCAGTATCCATGCTGCAAAGGCCATGGCCATCTACACTGTCTCTCCCTTTAAAACTCCCCACTAAGCCAATGAGAACCACAGATAATTTCAGATGTAGGGAACATCTGAACTTTAGCTGGTCCAAGCCCCAGGTCAAAGCTGGGCCAGCCTCAAGCCTTCAGCAAATTGCTCAGGGGACCATCTACTTTATTTTTCATCACCCCTGGAGACAACCACAATGCCCTTGCACCAGGAAGAGACTAATTTCTTCTTGCTTTAAACATCCTGCCTGAAAGCACTGATTTGAACAGGAGAACCTGTCTGTCTAGAGGCAATTTCACCCACATTTTCACATATTTGGGTATCAAGCTGGGTCTTATCTACCACCCACGTGCAAAACAAGGTACCACAACCAAGTCATGCAGCCTACCATAGCAATGCTGCCAGCAACACTAGGATCTATTGTAGTGATGAATTACAAGTTGATTTCATCTATAATATACACCAGCACTGATTAGAACTGAGGTACAAGCATAGTTAGTATTTTTAACAGCCATTCTTACCTGTGCTGTCACCTGTCAAGTACTGCAAGGCAGGTAAAACCAGTTCAGACCAGTTTGGGGCAAAGGAGAACCAGTTATTTAGTGCACTGGCAGGAGAAGATTGCCAGTCTAGAACTTTATCTTCCAGCTGAAGAAGAAACAGAAATATTTCATTAAAGGTCTCACACTTAAAACTATGATTGACTTAACAGAAACCAAAGCAGCCAAACACACCCAAGGGACAAAGAGATTTTTATGTATATAGAAACAATCATCTGACTTTTCAAGTAGCTGTAATATTTCAGGGAATAGACACCAAAAAGAGGGAAAAACTTCTCCACCATCTCTATCCTAAGTATGTAGAATATATCTAACCATGATCTAATGAATGGGTATGGAAAGACAGATTCCACTGACCCTCAAAGGGTTTAACTTCCTTCACGTGTAATTTACATATTTGTATCACTTACAACAGGACAACTCTGGAGAAAAATCACTACTGCACAGCTATAAAACCCTTTATCCCTTCATTTTCCCTTCTGCAGAGATTCCTAGGAAAGCTGGTGATTCCTTACCACAGAGAGAGTAGCAGGCCCATCCAGAAACAGTATCTCCAAAAGAAGGAAAAAGAAGCTGGAAGATATTTCATTTATTCCAAGGCATGGCTTCATCTCATCCAGAGGTCTTCAAATGAAAGAGATCACAAGCAGAATAAGTTCAAAGATGAACATCACACATTTCACAAACCCCAAACTGCACAAAACCAAAGCCTGCAAAAGTCCCCCCAAAATCTGAGCTGCAACACATGTTGCTCCCTCCATCCATGCAAGGCACCCAGAGCCCTCTGAAGCACTTACTCCTCTTTGACAGATGACAGAGCGATAGGGGAATGGTCCTGAGACATTGGTGGGATTCCATCTGTGTTGAGCAGAGAGTCAGCCAAGTCTTCCACCTCGGATTTAATCTTCAGCCTTTTTTTCTTCTTATCGTCCTTCTCCTTCACCTTTTTCTTGAGAGTTGCAAAGTCAAATAAGGCTGTAGATATGAGAAAAGGTAAGAATAATAATAAAAAAGCTTCCTACCATATTTCAATGGAAGTAATAAACTATATATTTAAACATATATTCAGAAGTGTAAAAATAATATATTTAGCATAAATTCAGGAATACTGTGTACTCATTCACACATCATTCACTCCATCCTCCCAGTTATCTCCACGAATCTTCATTTTTTCCCCTCAATGCATTCTGTTTTAATAGAAAACCTCTATTTTTTAAACCAATGTACATGAAATTAGAAATGCAAAGGCAACTGCTCAGAGCAGGGACACAAATTAACTTTCACCAATAGCTGGAAGCACCTTCGGTGGAAACTGCAGTTGCCTGAGCAACTGAAACAGAGCAACTCACAAACCCAGTGAGGTGAAGAGCAAAAGGATACAACACACTGTCCGGACCTCCTTCAGCCTCAGCTTTTCACACACTCAGTGCACAAACACTGTGCCCAGCCCACTGACCTGCCATGGAACCTTTCCTGCCAGCGTTTACTCGAGCAATGATGTCCTCAAGAGTCACGTCTGTTGTCACTAGATCAGGGTGGTCCTACACAAGAAAACAGGATGGAAATTAAAATGGGCTAAAGACCAAGTGTGAAGATAGCAATAGGGTACAGATGGTAACAAATCACTGAAATGCCCCAAACTTAACCAGATCAGCTTCCAAAGTTATTTACTGCAATAAAAGTTGGGAAGTCTTCCCACCCTGGAATCCAGATGTTTGTCTATCCAAAATACATCACAAAAATTACAAAATCAACAGACAAGCCTAAACAGCACTTCCATGTGTACACTGACAATTAAACAGAGGTTAAAATAAAGGGTTGAAGGGTGGATGCACACAAAAAAATAGCAATCATTTTGTCACCCTGAGCTTCATAACTATCAGATAAAACACTAACAGATCAAATGCAGTCCCACCCTCCCAGGCCTCTTGCCATCTTACTGGTTGACGTTTCCGTTTCTCACGGTGCTTCCTCAACATCATCTTCAAATCACTTTCCCCAAGTTCTATCTTGTCTGCAACAGAAACACATCCAGATCTTCTTTGTCCACAGGTTTCCACTGTTACTTCACAGTCCTCTCGCTGTCCATTCCCACTTTCAACAATCTCCAAACGTCTAGATTTTCCCTATTTGAATTTCATTCTTTTAATCAACCAATTTATTTTCAATACTTTCATCCTTGGATCATCAGATTTCATTGTTGATGCAAGTATGGAAGTGAAAAGCAGCAAGAATCAGCTGTGCTGCACACAGGATTTGCAGACTTGATCT